CTCTCTCAAACAACCAATGAACCAAAATGTCTTTTCTCATATAATCAATTCTTCAATACCTACAGTAAGCCAGGACAAAGATCCCATGGCTAACTGGCATAGGTATATGAAAACAATCATTTTATTCAAAAGTCAAGTAAATATCTATGTGATAGTCAAGAATTTCTATCACATCAAAGAGTGATAAGCTAGATTTGAGTTTTAACACTTTTTTTAATCACTCTCTTAACTAATCTGTGTAATTTGTGTATGTTTTTGTTTTTTTATATCCATTTGATCCCAGGATAGTTTATATTTTTTAATAATAATAATACCATGGTATCATGTCCTTGATAAGTTAAAACTTTTGTCTGTACTACCTAAGTTCTACCAAACTGATGAATCACAAAGAACCAAGCTCTCCATTCTGCACCTCCACTGAACAGCTTTGGGCCTGTTCACATTGACACATAAGTCACATGAGAACCAACAGCCTGTTATGAATCTGCTGAAATAACAGACTTGTCAAACCCTTTTTTGAAAAAGATTAAACATCAGCCTTGTACAGCTCTTTCCTATTTTTTAATTCTGTTATTTTCAAATTTGTACAAACAAATGGTTCTAACTTCCAGATAAAATGATTTTTGATGTTATTGTGAGACTTCAGATTTTTGGGATACTGAACTGTAATGTTTTTTGTTTGTCTGTGTTTTTTTAGTTTATTTATTTTTGAGATAGAGAGAGACAGAGCATGAGTGGGGTAGGGACAGAGAGAAAGGAAAACACAGAATCTGAAGCAGGCTCCAGGCTCCGAGCTGCCAGCACAGAACCCGATGCGGGGCTCAAACCCACAAACCCCAAGTTTATGACCGGAGCCAAAGTCGGATGCTCAACTGACTGAGCCACCCAGGCGCCCCTGTAATATTTTCTTAAAACTAGAGTCTACTTTGTTACACTGTGTGCTTGTAAATTTGTGGAATCCCAGATACTTGAGGCAGCATCCATAATCTTCATTTTAGATTTCTAGCTGAATTAGTACTAATTTTATACATGTTTAACTGGTCTGTACACTTTGGGATGCTACTTGGGTAAGGTTTCTGACTAATCTTAAAGTCACTGTAATTAATACTTGCACATTCGACATTTCTGGTGCTATTTGGCTAAAGAGTGATATATAGTTATGACAATTCTGCAGTTTATGTTTAGGAACTTAACATGTTTTTATGTAGGTAATTTAAAGAAATTCCAACTGCTTCTATTATCCTGTGAACTAAACACACTGAATAGCACTGACTCTTCTGATAGATGCTTATATGCTGCATTGTTTCAGTCCCTTCTGGTAGATCCTGTAATGTCTGTAGATCAGAACAGAGACCAGAATCTAAAATATGGTCCCTTTCTCAAACTGAGCAACTTAACCACTTCATGATGAGCTTTGGCAAAAGTTTTCCCTTATAATTCTGTGCTCTAATTTGGTCTAATTTGGTCTAGCTGGTTTTATAACTGTCTTCAAGATTATGTCAACACACTGACACTTTATCCCTCTTTCCCTTTCAATGTTACAGATTACTTAGTACAATATGGAAATTTAAGTTGAAGGAGAAAATTTTTAAATGGAACTTAAGTGACTTGTGGAATGCTCTGTGTTCATGAGTATAGATGGCTACTGAATGGACTAGAACTTGTTTAAAATTTTAGGTAATTAATTTGAAGACCAACAAACCAGATATAAGTTGTATATTTGAATTTATACTTAAAAGCCTTAGCATAAGTTAAGAACTGGAAAATTTGTTTAGCCTTTACCAAACTACACTATAATTCCAATCATTGTTTTAATATTTCCCAGTAACCTGTAACTGACAGACCAAGTTAATTGGCTTTGCATCCCATTTAACCCACCAGTATTTTCAAGCCATGAGGAATGCCCAAAGTCAGTACATTAAAAGGAACAGGTGCACAATAGTGTTTTATTTGTTTTCTTGAGAAGTCTCTGATTTCTGTGTACGTAGCACAAATCAAACTTGCTTTGTCTCACAAGTGAATTGCATCTCTGCTGGCTTGGGTTTTCCTACATCTTTAACAAAAAGACAAGTGTTCCTGATAGATCTCCTACAGGAGGCTACTCCTACAGTAAGCTTCCCACTGTGACTTCTACTATTTTGAAAATTATTAAACAGCCACATCTATAAAATAATCATTTTCATTGTTGAGAGTAACCATTTACTAAAAAATGCAATGTGGTTTACGCAAACAAACCAGCATTATTCTTGGTCCCCTCCTTGAGGGTGGCACACAGATTGGCACTGTGGCCAGATGTAGCCACTTAAGTCCTGTCAAGGTAGAGTCATGCCCTTACACATTTCACTACCCAAGTACTTAGTGAGGGGCTGAATGGCTAATTTGGTTAAGGATTGGACTCTTGATATCTGCTCAGGTCATGATCTCGCAGTTGAGTCCCAAATCAGGCTCTATGCTGAGCAAAGACTACTTGGGATTCTCTCTCTCCCTCTCTCTCTGCCCCTCCCCTGACCTCATGCATTTTCCTCTCTCTCTCTCTCTCTCTCAGAATAAATAAACCTTAAAAAAGGAATTTATTAACAGTGAAGAGTCCATGCTCCTATTCTGATACTCTCTTAGAAGTGCCTGGTGAGGGGCGCCTGGGTGGCTTAGTCGTTTAAGCGTCCGACTTTCGCTTAGGTCATGATTTTGCGGTTCGTGGGTTTGAGCCCCGCGTCAGGCTCTGTGCTGACTGCCAGCTCAGAGCCTGGAGCCTGTTTCAGAGTCTGTGACTCCCTCTCTCTCTGACCCTCCCCTGCTCACGCTGTCTCTCTCTCTCTCCCCTAGAAATAAATTAAAAAAAAAAAAGAAGTGCCTGGTGATCCTGATATACTCACAAACACAGGAACAATCTGCTATTACTGGACAAAGCCATAAGTATACATAAATTATGTTTAAAAAGAAGAAAAGTAAAACTGTCACTATTTGCAGATGACATGATATATACAGACAGATGGAAATCTTTAGGAGTCCCCCAAAAACCTACTGAAGTAATAAATGAATTCAGTAAAGTTACATGATACCAAACCAACACAGAAATCTATTGCATTTCTATACACTAATAATGAACCAGCAGAAATAGAAATTAAAAAAAACAATCTCACTTACAATTATACCAAAAAGAATAAAATACTTAGGAATAAACTTAACTGAGGAGGTAAAAGACCTATACTATAAAACTTATAAGACACTGATGAAAGAAACTGAAAATGACACAAATAAGTAGAAAGATAACAACAACAAAACCACCAGAGAGTAACATCTTGAGACATTGGTCTTAGCAATATTTTTCTTGATCTGTCTTTAAAAGCAAAAATAAACTATTAGGACTACATCAAATTAAAAAGCTTTTCCATAGGAAAAAATTTTCAGCAAAACCAAAGGCACCCTACTGAATGTGAGAAGATAACTGCAAATGATATATCCAACAAGGGGTTAATATCCAAAATACATGAAGAACTTTGACAACTCAATACCAAAAAACCCAAAAAATTTCATAAAAAATGAGCAGAGAACCTGATTCAACATTTTTCCAATGACATACAGATGGCCAACAGACACATGAAAAGATGCTCAACATCAATCATTACCAAGGAAAGTCAAATTAAAACCACAATGAGATATCACTTTATACCTGTCAAAATGACTAGCATTAAAAAGACAAGAAATACAAGCACTGGCAAGGAGTGAAGAAAAGGAAACCATTGAGCACTGTTGGTGGGAAGGCAAAGTGACACAGCCGCTATGGAAAACTGCATAGAGGTTCCTCAAAAAATTAAAAATAAAACACCAGGGATGCCTGGGTGGCTCATTCGGCTGAATGTCCAGCTTCAGTGCAGGTCATGATCTCGTGGTTTGTGGATTCGAGCCCCGCTTCGGGCTCTGTACTGACACCTCAGAACCTGGAGCCTGCATCTGATTCTGTGTCTCCCTCTCTTTCTGCCCCTCCCCCACTCATGCTGCTTCTCTCTGTCTCAATAATAAACATAGAAAAAATCTTAATTAAAAAAAAAATAGAAATACCACACGGGGCGCCTGCATGGCTCAGTTGTATGGGTTCCCAACTTCGGCTCAGGTCATGATCTCATAGTTTGTGGGTTCAAGCCCACATTAGGCTCTGTGCTGACAGCTTGGAGTTTGGATCCTGCTTCCAATTCTGTGTCTCCCCCGCACCCCCGCCCCCGGCCCTCTCCCACTCGTACTCTGTCTCCCTCTCTCAAAAATAAACAAACATTAAAAAAAAAATTTTTAATTAAAAAAAAAAAGAAATACCATACAACCCAGTAATTCCACTTCTGGGTATCTACACAGAGAAAACAAAAATACTAATTCATAAAAATATATGCCTCCCTGTTTAATCTACTATTATTTACAATAGCCAAGAAATGGAAAAACCTAAATGTGCATCCATGATGGATAAGTGGATAAAGAAGATGTGATATATATATATATACAAATGAAATATTAATCATAAAAAAGAATGAAATCTTGCCATTGGTAACAACATGGACGGACCTAGAGGCTATTGTGGTAAGTGAATAAGAGAGAGAAAAAGACAAGTCACATGATTTCACTTGTAAGTGGAATCTAAAAAACAAAACAAAACCAGAAACAGACTCACAAATACAGAGAACTGATGGCTGCTGGGGGGAGGGGGATGAAGGGATGGACAAAACAGGTGAAGAGGGTTAAGAGGTACAAGCTTCCAAATAGAAAATAAATAAGTCACAGGGATGGAAAATGGAAAACGCAGTACAGGGAATATAGTCAGTAATATTATAATAACTTTGTATATTGACAGACAGATGGTAGCTATACCTATCATGGCGAACATTTTGTAATATACATAGTTTTTGAATCACTATGTTGTATACCTGAAACTAACGTGATATCATATATCAACTGTAATATCATATATCAATATCATATATCAATTTTAAAAAAAGAAAAAAGTTTTCACTGACCTGGTGCAACCACATTCACTCTAATCTTCTTTCTTCCTACTTCTTTAGCAAGAGCACGTGAAAATCCAACTAATCCTCCTTTACTGGCGCTATACACAGACTGGCCAGAATTGCCTTTTAAACCAATAATACTTCCTGGAAAAAATAAAATGAAAACAAATTCAAACCAATTAATAAATAACTTGAATATTTAGATAATTTTCTAGTAAAAAAACAAGGCACAAACCATTTTACCTTGTCCTTTACTAAAATTAGGAACTCTAACCACCATCATTCGAGTAATAAGACTTAGGGTTGGAGTCTGCTCCAGATACAAACAGAAAACAGGTTCTGAGGAAGCTTATGTAAAACCTCATATCTTGGGCAGTGGCTTGAGAACTGATCCATTAAGTGAAAGAAACCCAACCTCATCTCTGAGTAGGTTAGACCTGATGAAAATCCTATAGTATTTTTAAAGGCTTCCAGTAGGAAGAGGTTAAAACCAGAAAAAAAGTCAGACAAAGGCTGATTAACTTTATGATTCCACAACATAGACATAAGGACATATTCATTTCCACCTAAAAATAAATAGTTCATCTGAAGGTAAATCTCACTAAATTTGAACTACCATCAATCTAAATAACTAAGGTTCAATTATACGTTTTTTGTAAAAGTGAAATTTAGTTATCTTCAGTGATATAACTAGTATTGCTTACTAAAGAGTCTTGGGTGGTCTCATTTATATGAATATGAAGGAATAATTTATAATTCAAATATCAACTGTATGCAAATAAATTCTTGCAAAACAGAAGTAGGGAAACAACTTTCTGCACCAGTGACCTGTACTTATATAAAAATTAATCAAGAACTTCAAAGAACTTTTGAAAAAGTAATTTTATTTTAGAAAAACATCCCACTTTTTATATTATCAGCAAGTTCAATATTAAAATATGTACATTATATTATATGTCAGATAATGACAATGAAAAGAACTGTGAAGCACAGAGAGAAAAGAGGGGCACATGGGTGGTTCAGTCAAGCATCTGACTCTTGACTTCAACTCGGAACACAATCTCACGGTTCATGAGTTTGAGCCCTGAGTTGGGCTCTGTGCTGACAGTGTGGAGTCTGCTTAGGACTCTCTTTCCCCCTCTCTCTCTGCCCCTCCCCCGCCTGCTGGAGCATGCGTGCTCGCTCTCTTTCTCAAAATAAATAAATAAACTTAAAAAAAGAAGAAAGAGAAAAGGAACATCAGACAGAGGAAATGCAGATAGACAGAGAAATGGGTATTTGGGAGAAAGAGAAATATGGAGAGACACAAGAAAGAAAGAAAAATATAGGCATGGAAGAAAGGCCAAAAAGGAAGCTTTAGTTCACACCACACACTATTGTTCATCTAGTTAGTGTTAACTTTTAAATCAATGAACTTTCTAGCAGTGTAAAGTAGTCCTTTCTGTAAAAAGATTCTCGTATTTTCAATTATTTTTATTTACTTTTAGAACAATTCTAAAAGTTTTCCATGTACACAAAGGCCTGAAGTGGGTTTTTAAAACATATCTAAAAAGGGGCTATTTTAGAGTTAAACAAATATATCCACATTATCAGGTGATATACACAGGCCAGTATACCAGCTTCTGAGAATCCAAAATCATTACCTGGCTGTGTTAGAAGGCAAAGGTTGATCAAATCTTTTACTTTTTAATCATTTACTAATAATCTTTTATAAGAAAACTCACTTCTTACATTTTTAAGGGTAAATGTCAAGAGTATTCTAATTCTTATTAGCACAGTATTCTTGTTTCATCTTCAAAAGGAAAAAACCCTATATCTTGTCTTGGAAAGCCATTTCCTATATTAAACACAACAGGGTCATTTACTTTAATGGAGCAGCATTCCCCTTTTGTGGCCGTTTAAGGTATTACCACTTAAAATTAAAAGGCAGATGATATGCTGCTATTTTCACATTACCAAACCGAAATAAAATTCTATGTCATTTTGCGCTTTAAGATCTATGGTCACACAAATATGGTTTATCTACCCCATGGGTCACATGAACTGAAGACTCAGGGTTATAGTCATTCTAAAAAACCAAAAAGATTATTCCCTTAAGAAAACTTCCTCCTAAACCTCTGTACTAGATTTATCAGTGACACACACAACTGCTGTAGAGATCATTTTCTATCCTCCACTACCTTAAATTTTTCAATTCCTTATCTATATTTTTAAAATTAGGTTTCACATGAAAATCACGGTGTCCAATTTCTCTTAAAAAGTCAAACAGCTTGGGGCACCTGGATAGCTCAGTAGGTTAAGCGTCAGACTTGGGCTCAGGTCATGATCTCACAGCTCTCGAGTTCGAACCCTGAGTCGGGCTCTGTGCTGACACGTCAGAGCCTGAAGCCTGCTTTGGATTCTGTGTCTCCTTCTCTCTCTGCCCCTTCCCTGCTTGCCCTCTGTCTCTGTCTCTCTCAAAAATAAACAAACATTTTAAAAATAAAATTTTTTTAAAGCCAAACAGCTGGCAAAACTGAGACCACATTTGTGCACAGCAACAATCACTGCAACTAAGTAGTGCCTGGGCCTGCCACCCCACACGGCCTCTGGACATTGAAGTTGGGCGTCTTTTGTCATGTAGCCTATGGCTTGTGCTGTCATTTTTCTAATACTTGGTGATGTCATTCATTTAACATCCTGAGCACGAGAAAGAGGTCAATCCCGTTTTACCTATTCATCAGTTAGTCAAATCCTTTTTCCACAGATAATAAAAAGACCCACTGCATCCGAGTTTCACACATGAATAAACTCCAAACTGGTCAATTAAATATTTGTACGGCACTACGGAATAAACAGAACTTCGCAGGTGAAGACTCACCTACATTAACAATAGACCCTCTCTGTTGTTGAATCATAGTCTTCAAGGCAGCTTTACAAGTCAGCATGGAACCCAAGAGGTTAGTATGAAGCTGAGATACCATATCTTCAGTTTTTGTTCTTACTAAAAGGCTATCCCTACAAAAAAAAAAAAAAGCAGTAGCATATAAATTAAAAATGAGATAAAACAAATTTTAAAAACTCAAGAAATATATATTTGAGCTAGAAAGCCTACAGAGTCCCATTTTAAACCTGATTGGAGAGGCATTAAAATAACTGATAAACTAGAAAAGATACACTTAGAAGCTGGCAGAGAGGCATATTATTCCTAACAGCTAAAAGTAATGCCATGTAGCCAAAAAAGCTTGAATGAACTGAGCAAATGTCATATTATAGTCAGCCTTGTTAGCAAGAAAATTAATATACTATTCTAAATATCCTGTCCTAAATTCATCTTTTAAAAAGAAAAAAAATATCTACTTTGATATCATACAGTTCATGTGCTGACAAAACTTATACAATGGTGACAGAAGTCAGAATAGAGGCTACCTATAAAGAAGTATTAACAGGAAAAAAACTGAAGAAAGCCTCCTAGAGTGCTGGAAATGTTCCACAGCTCAATATGGATGGGATTACATGTTAAAATTGATCAAACTGTACCCTCATTGTATATCTCAATATAAAAGGAAGTATATAGATAGACCAATTTTTAAAATACATATTTTCTTCCACTTAGAAATAAAGCAAGTTAATATATTTACTCATACCAAAACAAACATATTAGAAATGTACTTAAATTTGTGACTAACCTGTTAATTCCAGCAGCATTTACCAAGAAATTAACTCGACCTAAAGTTTTCTCCATCTCTTCAAAGGTATTTTGAACATCATGTTCTTTGGCAACATCACAGCTAAATGCTAAATGATCTCCTATTCAACAAAGTTAAATCAGAATCACTTATAATTTGAATTTAAAAATTATTCAATACACATTTGTTAAGCATACACATTTGTTAGCTACACTTGTGCTAATTTAGAACCTACAGATAAAAGATGATTATGTCATGCATTCCTCTACTCATGGAGTTCAGTCTAATAAAACGGGGATGGGGTGGGTGGGGAACAAGGAGAAGACAAAGTAATACTACGGAATTAAACCTTAAAAATTTTTTTTAATCAACAAAAAATGGCAAGAGGGCCCTTTTTATGTTCATAAGGCTTTGTAAGATGCAGTTAACAATATTTTTATCTTTGACGATGACCCCATGCTACCCAATTCAACAGTGTTCTGTGTTATATATTTCTTTTTTGTAATTTATGGGGCACCTGGGTGGCTCAGTCGGCTAAGTCTCTACTCTTGATTTCAGCTCAGGTCATGATCTTGCTGTTCCTGAGTTTGAGCCCCAAGTCAGGCTCTACACTGATAGCTCAGGGTCTGCTTGGGATTCTCTCTTTCTCTGACCCTCCCCCACTCACACTTTTTCTCTCAAATACACATTAAAAAAAAATAAATTTATGTCTAATTCTGTTACATTTCTGTTGAATTGGTTTCCTGATCCTGAGAATAAACCCTAGGGTTTCTTACACTTTTTTTTTGCACATATATGAGAATAACTATTATTCAAGACTGACCATTACAAAGCAGGAATCCGTAAAAGGAAAACAAAATGTCAGAACTAAAAAACACACCAAAAATAAATAACTTTTTACTGAAAACAACTGTTACTTCCCTTTTCTAAATGTCCATTTTTTAAAAAATGCTTAAATACCCAAAGAATATACTTAAACAAAAGCATTCTCTAATTAATAATACATCATCTTAATACCCTAAAATGTAGGGGTTTTTTGAGGGTTTTTTTTTTTTTATTTAAACAGATGCTTATTTTCTGGCTGACCTTGCCTACTATGTTAACACTAAACTTACACTTCCATGCCTCTGGATACAGTGTGAAAACCAAACACTTATGGAACACATCACTCAAGGAAACGAACGGCCCAAAAGCATCCTCTGTGACTCACTGGTGGCGTTCATCTGAACACCTGCTGGGTCCACAATAAGCCTTGGAAGCTCAGCCAACAGTTTTTATCTATTCCAGCAAACACTAATGGCTTGGAATGACCCCATAAGGAAAACCACTTTCTCATTCTCTCGTCAGAATAACATAAGGGCAGTGAATAAACATTCACTGAAATTCTCCCTGCTCTGTAACTTGTGTTTTGTTATGTTTTTTTAGAGGGTCTAATATTTTCCCAACCCATGTGCACAATTAGGGTGAACCAATCAGTAATGTTATAAAGGTTACAGCCACCAGATGTACCCCAGGCCTCTAATCTTCCCAGTGCCTCCATGACAGTGAATAAGGTGCACCCGCCTATTCTAGTAACTAAAGAAGAGCAGCGTCTTAGCATCTTTCCTACATCCTACTTCTCTCTACCATCAAAAGACTTAAATTTGCAAAATAATGATAAGCAATTACCAATCCATTATTAATAAACAAAAAAAAGGATTTTAAATGCAATAAAATGGAATCTGGAAATCTCATTTGTCCATTTGTAAAAACTACCAAGAGAATTTAATAACCTATTAAGCGCTTATGGATGTAGAAAAGCCAAAACAGGTATATCTCAAAACTAGCTCGCACTAGAGTTTCTTGTCTATGAAACATTGCTTTGTGCATTTGCACGTGGGCCACAACAGACCACACACAGCAAAACTATAGGGAGTCTGTCAGGCCTCACACGCCTACTCTTCCTGCCGTAACTCCTTTCCTCCCTGCCCAGTCTCCAGGCGGCGCCCGGGACCTTGCGGCACCAGTGCGCCCTTTACCCTACAAAGAAAGTTTGTGTGTCTCTCTCCTTCCAGGCACCAAAACAAAACAGCGCCTCACGGTTAGCACTAGCCTCAGGGAGGTGGGTATTTAATTAATGGGGCCTCACAAGACTGCTAAGTCTCAAAGAAAACCCCAAGTTGTTCAGCCCTTGGCTGCAGGCAGCGTGGCAGGAGACAAGGCGAGAAACAGGGTGGTAAGCGGTTCTCTACCCAATCTGGTATCCACACTGAGGAAGGGGTGCTCCTGCACGCGGGAAGCTTAACTGCTAAACCTCAGAGCCATAAAGGCCAGACTACCCTCTCGTTTTACAAACGAGGAGACTTTAGGCTCTCGGGCTGCAGCCCCACGAGTGGACAACTCCAATTCGGTACCTACCGCCGAGGTCACCGGCGGCGGCTTTGGCCAGTTCCAGATTTCTGGCGATGATGGCCAGTCGGTAGCCCTTCCGCGCCATTAACTGGGCCACTGCCCTCCCAATGCCCCGGGAGCCTCCAAAAACAGCACAGACTTTGTCCATCTTGGACGGCGGAGTCGCAAACTCGGAGGAAGAAGGGCTAGGAGTGGCGACCCCTATCCAGATGCTCTCGGTTTTTTAAACCACTGCGGTTCCAAAAAAAAAAAAAAAAAAAAAGCCAGACCGCGGCGAAAAAAACACCGCTTTACGCCTCCTGCCACCGGACTTTAGCAACCCAGAAGACCGGGAAGAGACCCGAAGAGTATGACATCTACGTATCAACGTCAGCGCGCACAGGCTTCCCGACCCTGCGCCCTACGGCAGACACAGGAGTGAAGGAGGCCGAGCTGTGATGACGTGCCTATTAGGGCTGCGCTGCATGCTGGGACTTGTAGTCTTCACGCAAGAGTGGAAGAAGCAAGAGAGCGCTGCTCACTGGGAAATGTACTCAAAGCAACGAAGGCGGAATGTAGCCCCATACCCGTTGGGAGGTGGCAGTCAAAATTAGAGTTCGGATGACCTACCAATCCAGTTTGCCTGGAACTAATAGGGTTAAGACGCTGGACTTAACATTTTAAAATTAGGACAGTCCCATCAACCGAGATAAATTGACTATCGTCGTTAGAACCCAGAATATACATTATTCAGAGTTGCAATGTCTGCCTTTCATCCAGGATTTGTTTTTCGCTAGAGACTAGATGCCCCGCCTATTGAAGAAGTGATTGCCAAATATCAGACTTAATGCAAAATCTGCCCCGCTCCAAGTTGCAGCAGAAGTAGACCTCACCCCATCTGGTTATTACCATTCACCTCAAAGGGTGTTGCAAAGGCAGATGCCCTATCAAGAACACCACATATAGTAGGAACTCAAGAAACGTTAATTGAATGAATAGTTTTGCAGGATTGGTGAAACGAGCGTGGCTACTGCAAACAAAAACAGGTTCCTACAATTGTAAAGAGGATGTGCTGAGTGAGCTGAGAGTTAATTAGCTAAAAGTCGAGCGTTCCTTAAAAATTATACAGTTGGGGCACCTGGGTGTCTCAGTCGGTTAGGTGTCCGACTGTGGCTCAGGTCATGATCTCATGGCTTGTCAGTTCAAGCCCCATGTATGGCTCCCTGCTGGCAGCTCAGAGCCTGGAGCCTGCTTCAGATTCTGTGTCTCCCTCTCTGCCCCTCCGATGCTCATGCTCGCTCCCTCTCTCTCTTAAATAAATAAACATAAAACATTTTTAAAAATTATACTGTTGGAAGCATTTCTTGATACAATATTAATGCATTAGATGATTCAAAAAAGTAGAAGTTTCATGGGCCCTACTACTAAAAAATACCCAACCTGGGACAACAGAACTAACACACACAAAACACTAGCTAGTAGGCTGAAGCCATAACGTGCAAAATGATATTAAAACAAGAGCTCAGAGAAAAGGGATGGAGGTCAATGAATAAAATGCAGGAGTGCATGGAAAAGCTGGGTTTGAGGAATGGATGAAGTTTGAATAAAAGGAAAAGAGAAAAAAATCGTAAGCAAATTGACTGTTATTTTTGAAATATTATTTGTGTTCCACCTAGATCCAAAAGGGGCTTGAAATGGCTTGCAAAGATACACAAGTAAAGCCTCACACCCTTCAGGATGGCTGCTATCAACAACAACAAAAGAAAAACAGTAACAAGTATTAGTGAGAAGATGGGAAAATTGGCACTTTTCTACTCTGTTCCTAGGAATGTAAACTGGTACAGTAACTTTGGAAAACAGCACCCTCAAAAGAATTAAAAATTGAATTACCTGGACTCCTGGCTAGCTCAGTTGGTAGAGCATGGAACTCTTGATCTCAGGATTGTGAGTTCAAGCTCCAATTTGGGCATAGGGCATACTTAAGAAAAATAAATAAAAACAGAATTACCATATAATCAAGCAATTCCATTCCTGGGTATATACTCAAAAGAATTGAAGGCAGGGAAGCAGGGTGTCTGCTTCTGAGCAGTTATTGTTTAATGAGTATAGTGTTTCAGTTTTGTAACATGGAACATTCTGGAGAGGGATGGTGGTGACGGTTGCATAATATGGCTGTACTTAATACTACTGAGCTGTACAGTTAAAATGGTTAAGATAATAAAATGTATGTTGTGTATATTTTACCGCAATTTCTAAAATTGGGGGATAAAACCTCAGCAATACAAGTATTACCATTGACAGCAAGAACACCGAATGCAGTTTAAGATTTCTTAATGGAGTTTTTTTGTCCCTAAAGCATACAATAATATTGTCAAAATACTGTAATTTAAGAGCTCTTTAAACTTTTCTGAAGAGGTATGCCACAAACCCGATACCAGGTTATTTATATTTCTTTAATGTTTGTTTATTTTGTGAGAGAGAGAGCACACAGAGAAGGGGCAGAGAGAGGGAGTCCCAAGCAGGCTCCAGCACAGAGTGTGACTCAGGGCTCAATCTCACCAATTGTGAGATCATGACCCGAGCCAAAATCAAGAGTTGGATGCTTAACCGGCTGAGCCACCCAGGCGCCCCTATAATTTTTAGGTATTACTTTATTTTTGTCATTATTTAACGTTGTCTTTTAATTATATAAAACATTTACATGGTGTTAAGTGTGAACCACAAAACAGGTGCTTCAGGGAAGTATGGGTTTCATCTTTGCCTGTTTCCTGTTCTCTTCCTACCCCTATAAATTGACGTTTTTGTTAACTTTTTATTTATCTTTCCATTCTTTCTTTTTGAAAATATTAGAAAACAGATGTCTTTCCTATTTCAGCCTCTTTCTTATACAGGATGTTGTGTTTATAGTATACACACCTTGGTGGGTTTTTTTTTTTTTTTCAGCATAATAATATACCTTGGAGCTCATATACCTGTGTACTAAGACCCTCCTCATTCCTTTTCAAAGCTGCATAGTCCACCATTAACCAACACGGGGATTGTGACTGGCAGAATTATACAGACGATCCTCCCCCAAGAACCTCCCCTTCCCACCCCAGCTATTCAATCAAACACTAATCTAGGAACCACTGTGAAAGGAATTTGAAGATGTAATTAATTCCCAACTCAATTAACTTTAAAATATGTAGATTATCCAGGGAAGCCTAATCTAATCAGGTGAAACCATTGAAAGCAGAGCATTTTTTTCTTGCTGGTGGCAGAACCAAATCAAAGACATTTGAAGCACGAAGGGGATTCAGAGCAGGAAGTGTTCCTGCTGGCCTCCAGATAGAAAACAAACAGCTACGTTGTGAACTGTGGATGGAGAGGGATAGCCGCTAGAGGCCGAGAGCCATCCTCAGGTAAGAACCAGCAAGAAAATAAGAACCTCAGTGCCACAGGTGCAAGGAAGTGAATTCTGCCAACAATCTGTGAGCTTGGGAGAGAACCTCAAGCCTCAGCTGAGAATTGCAGCACAAAGGCCACACCTAGACATCACGTTTGAGACGTGAGCAGAGGATCTAGCTTCATGGTACCCAGACTCCTGATCCATGGAAAATGTCAGATTAATAAATGTGTGCTGCCTTTTTAAAAAACGAATCAGGAGTACATGATTTTAAAAGACAGAGAACCACCCTCATCCCCCAAGGCGGGGACAAAAACATGAGGTCAGCTGAAAGCTATACAAATGAGGTCGCCTGAAAGCTATACAAATAAAATCACGCTCTAAGAATTCATTCAGTAGTAAACAAGAATGGCATAGTGATTCTGAATTTCCTAGAGGTTAAAGCAACTAAGGAAACATAATTAGTTACAAGTAGCAATTTTTATAAGAAATAAATTCACGGAAATGCAGCAGAGAGGTTGAAGGGAAACTCCCTCCTCACAGATCCATATAAAGGGCACAGTAAGGATTATAGTGGACTTTGTCATAAAATATACACATTCAGGCTACTTTTATAGCATCTATTGTTGTAAGCTGAGGACACAGCACCAAAGCCCCTTTTAAAGAAAGAGAACACAATAGGAAGTTAAACAACATAAGCAAATATTTACACAAGAATGAATCTTTGTATATATGAAACAATGAGGAAATAAACCTGATTAGGGAAAATTAGGATGATGCTGGATAATAGAAGGATTTAAAGCCAGAGACAGGTATTCAATGAATCACTGTAACCAGAAGTCACAAGATAAAAGCTGCACTTTAAAACAAATAATCTAGCAATGATATCAGAATGGGTTGTCTGATTTGCCTAAGGCCCTCTCCCACTACACACTCATTGTATGCAATCTTGGAAAGGAAAAGCTCTTTTAGACAAATTACTAATATGTGGGTCAGCTTAAATGCCAGGTGTATTCTTGGCATCCAGCGTTGTTCAGACTTTGTGGACAGTTCTGTCAGTTTCATAGGAAAAGGGTTATATTTTTTTCTGCACATTGTTATGTTAGCAAAAAGCATATTTTTACATCATTAACACACAATGCAAGGTGACATTCAGAATTCGCAAAACCTTCCAATTTTTCTCACTGTGCATATATGGTAATGGTATGTAGAGCTTTTCTTTCGCCACTTAACTTCAGTTTAAACCCCAAAGCTATTAGTCACTTTTTTCCCTCTTAATGTAATACCACTACTATCCTGAGTGAGAAAACACTTATCACAACATATCAGCCATTAGCCAGGTTGGTTATTGGCAGAGGAAGTCTCTCTCTAACCCCTTGATAGTGAACTGTGAGTCTGTAAATTAAATTGGGTCTCCTTTCCCCAGCAGGACACTGAAGAAAGTCACTGGGCCAATCCATCTTGAGTCCTTTCTTCTCACTACATCAGTCACTTTTGCAATAATATGTTGACCACATTTTACACTTTTCTTTCATTTAAATCCTCATAAGAATATATTTTCTCTTGACTCCCATTATCGGAATCACCTTAGAAAATTCCTTATGTGTAAGAGCTGTTAGACTTTAAACATTGTTTACTTTATATTCTTTTTTCTTGTTACAAAAGGCATACTGCTTAATTATAAAAATAATTTCTAAGTAACAATATTTTTTAAAGTCATGGAAAGTATTGTTCATATTCATTGGGAGAATTATATGCTATGTGCATTGTATCTCAGCAAAAAACATAGAATTATATGCTATGTTCTTTAAAAAGTTAATTGAGGGGCGCCTGGGTGGCTCAGTCAGTTAAGCATCCGACTTTGGCTCAGGTCATGATCTCACGGTTTGTGGGTTCGAGCCCCGCATTGGGCTCTGTGCTAACGCCGGAGCCTGCTTCAGATTCTGTATCTCCCTCTCTCTCTGATCCTCCCCTG